TTGAACGCAAGATCGTACTTCTGTTTGTTTCAGAGGATTCCATGACACTGACCATGATGTCTCAGTTGCAGATGAGATAATTTCGCTGGCACCAGGCCGGCTGAACTTTTCGCTTAAGTATTCCGCCCAGCGATCAAGCTGTTTTCCTTTACTGTTAATACTCTGTTCCCCTATATAGGAGAGTGTTTCACTAACTAGATTTCTCCGACCTCCGGTATTGCGTATAAGTGGGAAGTCTTTGACTATTCCCTGATGCAGCTGCTATTTATATTTCACTGGTTATTGTCTTTCGCCAGTTCTCACGGACCTTCTTGAGCTGACGTTGCAGACGCCATCTACCCCTGTTTTAATCTCGGGCGGTCGGGATTTACCGCTTTCTCTCCATCAGTATTACTGGCTCATCAGGTTTTTAATGCCTCAGACTGGTTTGAGGCTCAAATCCACAGGCGACCCTTGCTGCGGAGTGCATTATTCGTCCAATCTGATCCCGTTGCTCAAAATCCAGTTTGGAGGGGGCTTTCTGGCCACTAAATTAGGGAATGAACTGCATCAAAACAAATGAGTGATCAGATTCAACGCAGGTAGTCCAATAGGACCTGTAGTTTTCTGCTGAGCCACGCGAACGATAGCCTAATGCTATGTGGTCGATTTGAGTTAGCGTACCAGCGAAGTTGGAGCACCACATTGCCGTCCGTTGAGAGCTGTTGCGGAAGTTAGTATCGGACAGGAACAGATGGTAATCTGCGCAGAACTAAAGAAGTTGATCGCTGTTATCTGTTCGTTGGCTGGGCAGAGCACAGCGATTGCCCACGCAAGCTTCTGACGCACTCAGTTTTCCAACCTGCGCGTTAAAGTAACCCGCAAGTGCAACTACGTCGGGGCTTCAACTCAGCCGAATGAGATCGATAAGATCATCTTAGAAAGCGTCCTTTTAAGTATCGGAGACGCGATTTGTCGGTGCATGCGCTGAAGTGATGAACAAACAGATTTCGGTGTTACTTCCTTGACAGACTCTTGGACCCAAATTGCACATAAGCAACTGTTGCAATACTAGAATCTTGGGTGCACGCCTCTGATAAACAAGACATCAATTTCCAAAGACCTCATTGTACGCGCAAGACACACTTGTTGACCCAGCTGCATAATAATCCTCACGTTGAAGGCCATCAGATTGAGAGGTTAAAGAAATTACAGAATCCGCAATCTATTTCGTGATAAACTATTTACCTAGCTACTTGGCAACTGACGAACAGGTTTTCTCCGCGAAAGTTACGGGTTGGGTAGGGATCAAAAAGAGTTAAACAGAAGGTGGGATGTTCGAGCAGTAGCCCACTTATCAATATCCACCCTGCTCGACGCAATGGGCAGAGTGGTATTCATTATCCTGTACGACGACCGGTGCAGTATGGAATTATTTATGCTTGTATGCAGTGAGATTCCAAGGACAGGTACTACTAGCGTGCCGAACTGCTAAGCAGAAAAACGCCTTTCTTTCTGACGCGAACTTGACCGTAGGGCATCGGGTGAAGTGAATTGGAGGAACATCGATTTTGATTGAGTGCTCCTCCACCATTTTTACCTGACTGCAAGGCAAATTCCATTTGAACTACCAACCTGAGAGGATTAGGAGACTGAACTTCGGTATGCGTTTTGCACCTTCAAAGTGTAAAATGTTACTTCAAGACTGGGTTGGTCCAGCACCCAGTCTCACTCTAATTGGAGAATTAATAGAGCAGGTGAATAATTTTTGTCATCTGCGCAGCTATATCTCACCCGGTGGATGCATCACGGATGAAGTATTAGCTTGCATACAGAAGACTCGGTTGGCATTTGCCAACTTGAGACATCTGTGGCACCGTCGCGACATCCGGCTGTCTGTGAAGGGTCGAGTGTATGCTGTAGCAATTCGGCCAGTTCTGCCATACGGTGCAGAAACTTGGCCATTACGGGAACAGTACAAAAATAGATTGTCGGTGTTCGAACACCGCTGTCTACGTCGAATTTCACGAGTATGGTGGGACAATCGGACGACCAATGCTGAGGCACAGAGTTTTAGGCAGTCACGGTAGTCAGTTGGAGCAAGAGATCGACCTTCATAGTTTACGTTGGTTGGGACATGTGTTACGCATGTCACCAGATAGGTTGCCACGGCGAGCGATGTTTGCCGAGGCAGGTGGATGGAATAAAACCCAGGGTGGTCAACCTAAGACCTGACATGAGGGCATGAAAACCCTAACTAGGAATCTGGGTCACATAGGTTCCATTAGGCTCCCTGAATGGGGACCTCGAGATGGTCGTACCTGAAGGTTAAAGACACTCAGTGATATGATTGGGTGTCGTAAACAGTGGCGTCCGTACACCTCAATTTCTCTGTATCATTGGCCCACTGGACTTTTTAATTTTCTCTTCGATCCTACTTTCAACCTTTCCTGTCTTTCTCCTAATGTTCATCCAAATGGGCAGCCGAAAGATAGCAATCCTGTGAAGCTTGTTCAGTCAGATAGGTGCAAAAGTCATGACACCACATCGCGGTGCAGTCTTGTCGATCCAGTACGACTGAACAATTTACCTCTGTGACTAAAGAGCTAATTGTTGTCCAATAAGGCTGTGGATAAAAAAGAAATAAAACAACACGTAAACGCCTTACCGATGAAGATCCATTATCATTGTCGAAAAATTAAGCCCACCGGGTAAACGATCCAATGGCAACAACAGTAAAATTACATACAATCGAAGCGGTAAACCATTTAGTGAACGCCCAGGAAGAGAGAGGAGGAGGAAGGATAAATACAACAGCTTTGTACATTATTTAGAAGATATGAAAAGGAGTCATTTAGACCAGAAATACAAGCGATGATAAAGGTGATAACAGTGAGAACTTGAGTAATATATGTACAAAATGAACCGTACAACACCTCAGTGATAGACGGAAGTATTTCCCTTCGCTATGAAATGCCCAGCCACGTAAAGAGATAAAAAGAACGAAAGAGTAATTCATGGAAATTCACTGTCATTGGTACGACCATCTGCGGGCTTCACGATGTCTCTGTCTACGAGCAGCCAGAGCAGCTGACAATTCCGGATTAAAGGCCGAATTGAATGGGATCTCCCGTTCGTCCGTGGGCACTTCCGGTTGCCCGGGGTCTGTGAATGCCTGTGACAAACCCATCGCTTTTGCCATCACCAGCGCAGCTCGCTCGCGCTCTTTACGCTCACGTTGCAATCGTTCAGCTCGCAATTTGTCCATACTTAATCGCTTGGCCAGTTCAATCGCCACCGAACTGGGACCAGGTGTGGGCACAATAGCATCGGAAACACGGGTAGACGGAATCTCATCCGAAGAGCTGGACGAGGATCGACTGGATCGATGGGATTTCGAACGATGTCTGCGTTTTCGTTTGTGCTTGCTTTTCTTTTTGCTCGATTGTTGGGATGAGCCACAGGCGGACGTTTCTTGTAGTGATTTGCTCAAGAAACTGGACTGGTTCAGGGGAGGGAAAGAGCACAAAAACGAGTGAACAACAATTCTTGTACTCGACCAATATGGTCTACTTATTGGTCTCACTCACTCACCCACTCACACGCACAATATTTAGCATACAAACCAAGAACTGTTTCACAACTTGGTCACTGAAAAAAGATTACAGTTTATAAACAATCCAACCATCGGATCCTATTAACTAAAACAACATGTTCCCAGCTGCCAGCGCTTGTGAAATTGGTGTGAATCGCGAGACCAAACACAACTAGCCGAATAATAGACAAAGGTGAAACACTGTCCATTTTAGCTGGTGACTTTCGAGGGAGGGGTTGGGAATACACAGAGGACAAAACGAAACGACAGACCACATTGTGAATAAACAGATCCGGCGACGAAGAAATGAAGCAAATGCTAATGTCTACCTTCGTATGAACAGACATGAATCAACCAAAATGATAGCAGTCACTACACTGCGTGATCGAAGGATTTTGACCATACATCAGAAGGGTTCTGGGAGTGGAATCCACAGCTCGAATCGCACACCCCATGTGAACGTTCCAATTGTCACAGTTCTGGCTTCTTTCATTTTCGAAAATCGATGTGAACAGGTTCGTTTCGACGACTAACTGCCACACTTGGGTTAAGCAGAGCTGAATGCTACCAGCAGCGTCCCCGGGGATACCGTCACCGAAGCAGGTTAGCTGTAAGTAAGTTGTGGCATACCGCAACAAATAAGCAGTTGCGAACAAACAGAGGCGGCACTACCAAGGTGTGGTGGGTTTCAGGCTGGTCACCCGACTCCTATTTAAAAGCCACATAAGCCCAATAATGGTGTCATGACAAAGGTCGACGTGACTGACCTCTTAAAACTAAAGTCATTGACCCCCTCACTTCCGAGGTGAGGGCTTACTTCCTGTTGCCTTGCAGTTTGCAATTGGTTGTGCGTCCTCAAAATAAAAAATCGCCGAGTGACGCTGGGGACGGCTCTCCTATTAAACTTCCAAGTAACACCATGATCATGATCATGTCTGGAGCCAGCTTCCAGCCAGTTTCCAGGGAGCCAGCCGCAGTAAATTAAAATAAAGTAAGTAATTACGAGACTGAATGTCACTTGAACGAAAATTACGCTATTACACAAAGAGCTGCGTGAAATAAAAGTTCAGTTTGTAGTTTGTACAACCATTAACCATGGACTTCCCGTGCGCCGGTTTTGGTCGCTTTCTTTTAGCTGCTCATTTGGACGAACAGTAGGAGAATGACACGAAGGTAGAGTCGAGGAGGAAATTCAGAACTCCAATAAACTATGGCTGTGGAGAAATTGAGATGCACGCACGCCACTGTTTACGACACTCAGTGTCTCTAAAATTCATACTCGTCCAACAGATATGGGGAAAAATTAGTCGTATGGAATTTCGGGATAGCTGACTGATTCCTAAAGATCAGCCTGGATAAAAAACAATCTGTACTTTAAACCCGAAGCCTTTCAGAAAGAGAGACAGAGATGATACTGCTTTGGAACAATCATACTTCAGATTTCACCTTCACGAAAAAGTCACGGTTAATCCAGTCAATCATACAATTGACTGGAGTGACCAGGTCACACAATACCTCTTCCTTCAACACCGTCCGGCTAAATGCACTGATTAATTATCTCTGTAGACGACATCGGAACAAAGTTGAATCGGTATTATGATCAACCTCGGTGTAAGCCGGTCGGCACGGTGGTAGTGCACACGCTATTTATTTGCACGGTTCAGATGAACAATGTGTGTATCGGAGCGTACGCCTAAATTGGAAAATCGATCAAAGGCGGAATGAATTTGAACAACTAGTTCCTTAATTAGAAGCACGTTAAATGAAACGACTGATATATAGCAACAGATTGTTGTAGAGTTATTTAAATTACATGCTTGTATAATTATAAAACCCTAGTGGATATCAAACGGTTCTGGTCCTAAATCTGAGGGATAGTGTTCCTTCTCTACCTAGAGAGCAAGATGTTTTTGAGTGCCGCACTTCAAGCCACATCAGAACGCGATTGTGGCTCCTGTTCGAATAGAGCCAGCCATCTTGTGGGATGAAGCATGAGCTACAGGAAATTACGCGAAGTGTTTATGGCAATCCAAGAAACCGTAAAACTAGCATTCTGCGTCAGTTCATCGCAGCAGGATTGTATTTTATGTATTTTTACGTTTGCTTGAGTTCAGACAAGGTGCCAAATAAAGTACAGCACAATGTTCCTTGTAACAAAGAATTAGGACAGATAAGTAGGACCATGTCTAATGTCTGATGTATCCATTGCATACGCTCGGCATTCAGGTTGTAAAATATAAAAGTGATAATGATAATGTGGACGCCCAAAGACACATTATGGTCAGAGGTGAGTGTTTTAGGGTGGTGACTGCTCGCTTTCTGTGCATCGTGCCAAATGTTCCTATACAACCAGTCGTCTTCAGTTTGCATACAAGCCAAACAGATCTGCATTGGACGCCGTATCTACCCTATTGCATTTTATTACCAAGTCATTGAATCATTCGGTCAAGTCTGTCAGTTCTGTTTTTCCTGACTATTCGTCTGCGTTTGATTCTGTTTCCCGATCATCCCTTCTTTTCAAACTTGAATCTTTTGGCACTCCAAAACAACTGCCCTCATGGCTTGCTGACTATTTCACACAGAGGGTCCAGTGCACCAAATTAGGAAGGAGGGCATCAAAACCTCTTGTTAGAAATTCTGGTGTTCTTCAAGTGCTGTTCCTATCTCCATATCTTTTTTCTGCCTTTATTAGTGATCTTTCGGTCCCACTCCCTGCGCACATCCAAAAGTATGCTGATTACGTTGTTTTGTGTCCAACAGTTTCATCTCCTTCGGAATTTCATTCTTTTACTGAAAACCTATCCCACATCCAATCTGGTCTCAGCCTTAACATATCTAAGCGCGTAGAGTGCATTTTCAGTCTTTCCCGCTCTTCATTAACAACGGACTCTGCTACCCTTAACGATAAACTTGTATCCAGAATGACCTCAGTCAAACACCTGGGTGTCACTATCGACAGTAACCCTCGTTGGTCTACACATATCTACAACTGTATGGAAAAATTGAGTCGCCTATCTTTTCAGTTACGCAAACTCAGGCAATTCCGAACCACACAGTCAGTCCTGTCATCTTTCGTTCATTAATGCGTTTTACCCATTCCACTTTATTACTCCCTTGTAGTGCTTCCCGGTCTTTTAAAACACGACTTCAAAACAATTCGCCGTGGTTTGGTGGTGATCAGCCGTGCATCATTAGTCCCAATTGATTTAGTAATCACGGAACTCATTGATGGTCACATCAATTCTTGTTTTAAATTTGCTCATAAAATTCTAGATGACCCTCTTGATGCACTACACCCTGAGCTATTGTCTTGTCGTTCCCATCCGTTCACACACTCCTCATTTCGACAGCTACCCTCTCGGATTAACATGTATACAAATCCCCCTGTACCCTGCTTGGCCCGACTACTTACCAAAAAGGAACAGGTTTCAAATGAACTACGTCAAAAGTTTTGTACATGAAACAAATATCACCGACATTCTTTATCTTTCGTTTTCATTATTATTATTTCATTCTGCGTGACGAACAGTGTACACTTTTTAACTGAAATGTAAGCATAAATGCTTGCACAAGTTATACAAATACAAAGCCTCTGCCGAAAAAGCCCTAATTGTTGTTTTCCTCTCCAAAGTGAGAGCATGAAAAGCCAACATCTGGGTCGGTGAACCACTGGCAGTTCACCTAGGGGAGTGGGCTAAAACCCTGATTCCAAACCAACCAATAAGAGGCATATGCACCACGCCGGCCACACCTGCCTGCATGTGGCAGTGGTCACCGGCTAGACTGGGTGTCGAGGCGCCTTAGGCATTTGACCCCATCCGAAGGACGTATGAACCCATGTACACCCAGTACACCGGCCCCCAATGGATTGTGGTTTTTCACATACCGCCCAGCTGTCTTGCGAGTCAGGCTTTGGCTGGCCGAAGGCTCCGTTTTTGAACTGTCTGAGAAAGTTCATCTTCTTTGGCCTGGGAAGCCTAGCAATATTCCACCCACCAACAAATCGTGAATCGATTTGCTGACAGTTAAGACTGTTGTAGCATGATTGGTTTGGCACACAATCTGGATTCAGAACTGTGAAATATAATGATAACACTGATAGTAATAATAATAACAATAACCGGTGAGTAAAAATATAGAAATACCACCTGCTTCATTGTACAAAATCATTAAGTAACCCAGTTAGACTAAACGGAGCGGGAACTGAATTGATCGATAAATAAAACATTTGATGTTGAATAAATTGACTACGATGGTTTCTTATCTGCTGAGGAAAAAGAACAACTTGGTGGAACAAAAAGACAACACACAAAAATATATCATTTTATTCACTGTTGAACTTACTGTACTTTTAGACGGCACGGAAATATCATCGGGAAATAATCCAGGCATTGCTGCGATACACGAATCAGCTCTTCTCAACATCTTCGCCTCTTCCAATGATTTCTCTTCCCTCTTTTTTTCAAACCACTCGGAAACTTTATTCATTTGTGTTAGTGGATCCGCGCGAAGTTTCTTTTTGGCTTCCCATTCTTCTTTCTTTCTTTGAAGGACAATAATAATAATAATAATAATAATAATAATAATAAGATGAATAATAATAACGATATGAAAATGACGTGTTTTTCGATGAGACGTACTTCAGTTTCTCGTCCTCGTCCGATCGTAATCGTTTCGGATGTAAATCGTACCACGGTTTTTGACCACCTGCGTCCAACATACTTTGACCGAGATACGTGAGTAAACCGATTGACTTTTCGGCTGCCTCCTTCTCTGCTTTCTTTTCAGTTTCATACTCTTTATTTCCTTGTATCAAACTTGTCTTGTATCACGTGAACTATTGCGGATAGGGACACTTACGGAACGATCGGATAGCAGAACTGAGTGTTTTTCGATAGCCGAACCACTTGGGAGACCAAGTGACGACCGGGCACGCTTTCGGAGTGCATCTGTTCTGGCCTCTTGGTCCTATAGAAGATGACCAATTGACTAGACTGATAAAAAAATAACGAACCGCAATCAAAGAACGGAATTCGTCTTGTAACTTTTTATCTTCGAACTCAGCTTCATCCTTTCTCACTCGAGCAATATTCTCTTTCGTCCGGACATGCCATCTGCAAAACATTAGAATATGAACGAGAAACACGTACCTTTTCTTTGGCAGAATATTCATAATTTGTATGCAGAAACACAACACAAGGAGACGACGGTCGGGTGCACGGTCTGCAAAAGAATAGAACACTGAATAACTGTAGAGTTATTGAACGTTGGGGAATTCATATCTTGAAATCAAGTACGCATACGAACATCGGGGGGGGGGGAAGGGAACTCCGACGATACCTCGATCAACTTACTTAACTTAACTGCGGCTGGCTC